GCGGGCCCGGGCTGGGGATTCGAACCCACCACCTTAGGTGTATGTGGCTGGCGCCTTAGCCGCTTGAGCCACAGGCGCCGAGCCACAAATACCTTTCATCGGTAGAAATGTTCAGTTGTGTCGGTAGCAAAATCTGGAGTCCTGGACTTTGGGAACAGTGGGACCCGAGTGTGAGTGAGGACAGCACTTCAACTCAACTGGAGGCTGGCTGGGTCTCCTGTCTCAGAATGTGTTCATCTCACCAATGACATGCTTATTTATGCTTTGAATGCTACTGTATTTTTATTTTGCCTTAACCGTGTTTTATTTTTTCCTTTTCTAAAGTCAACAGCTCTTTATACCACCTTTGATGAAGTAAGTAGTTAAACCCAGAAGGTAACTTGAGACAAGCAAACATCATCTTTTGAAATACAATTTAAAACACACGCTTAAAGGATCAGCCATAAATCACATGCTTACAGAAAAATGTCGGTAGTAATATAAGTCTCTCCCAAAACTTACAGTAGATCTAAATGTAGTTATCAGGTTGATCTTGAGACCCTGTATCATTAATCTATCTTATAGAGTTATACAAAACTCAAAGGTAGAAAACACAAAGGGATGCTAACATTCTTCGCTGAAATTGTTTAAAGGCTTATAGTTTATTTTATTTTTTATTTATTATTTTGAGACAGAGTCTCTCTATGTTGCCCTCAGTAGAGTGCTGTGACATCACAGCTCACAACAACCTCCAACTCTTGGGTTTAAGTGATTCTCTTGCCTCAGCCTCCCAAGTAGCTGGGACTATAGGTGCCCACCACAACACCTGGCTACTTGTTGTTGTTGTTATCGTTGTTTAGCAGGCCTGGCTACATTCGATCCCGCCAGCCCCGGTATGTGTGGCCAGTGCCCTAACCACTGAGCTACAGATGCCAAGCTGCTTAAATTTTAGATTTATCTTTTCTGCACACAAGATATTCCTCAAGTGCTGTTAGGAGTGTGCAATATATGCTGATTAATCTGTGTATGGAGGATGATTCCAAGGTGAGAGTCTGGAGTGGTAAAAGTTACAGTTGGAAATTTTTTTTTTTTTAAGACAATTTCATTTTGTCACCCTTGGTAGCATGCCATGGAATCATCGCTCACAGCAACCTCAAACTTTTGGGCTCCAGTGATTCTCTTGCCTCAGCCTCCAAAGTAGCTGGACAATAGGTGCCCACTACAACGCCCAGCTATTTTTTAGAGACATGGCCTTGCTCTTGCTCAGGCTGATCTCAAACTCCTAAGCTCAGGGAAGTCCACCCACCTTGGCCTCACAGAGTGGTAGGATTGCAGGTGTGAGCCACTGTGCCCAACTCTACAGTTAGAAATCTTACCACCTATGGAGTGTACAGGCTTTGGGGGTGCACAGCCCTTGTTGTAATTCCTGTGTGTGTGGCAGCAGCTAAGAGTTAGGAAAGCAGCTTGCAGAGATTTGGGAATTCAGATCACTTTACCTGTGTGATAAGTGTGTGCTGGGCGAGTTAATAATACATCTGTTTCCCTACAGAGTTCATTCTGTAAGTAAATGACTTGCTGTTATTTTGGTAAATAGTACATTTGGGATGCAAGGATTAGGTTCGATAGCACAGTAAAGTCTCCAAAGGACTAGGTCGGTAGGATTGGGTCAGGGTGGTTTGGTCCCAAAGTTAAGTGACTGAAGTGACTCTGCACACACAACCACACACAGGCACGTGCAGCTGCACACATGCACAGTTAAGATACAAGTCTATTTCTACGTCTTACACTGGTTAAGAAAGATTTTACTGAACATGTGGCTGCTATGTTTGAACACTGTCATTTAATTTGCTTGGAATATATAACATGTTATCCTAAAGGTATTGTATCCTTTGACTCGAAGTGCTGTGTAAGTTTGTGGACCATTTAATTTATTTTTGGTGTTTTAGATTTTGGCGAAACACTTGAATGATGGTAAAATCAATCAGCTTCCTCTTTTCCTTGGAGAGCCTGCTATGGTAAAGTATTAGCTATTCTCTAATCCAATACTCTTATACTGATGGGTGTGGTTGGCACTTCTAAATGGAATTAACTTTGGCTCGTGGCAGGCTCAGGAGAAATGCTTGGGAACCACCTGTCTGCTCAGCTTCACGTGCCCCTCAGCAGACCCCAGGCCTGGTCCTGTGCCTCATGCCAGTTATGGCTAAGTGTCCTTTGGAAGCCTGGCGATGGTGTTCTACTCCTAAACAGCACCTGTTTTATGTGATTTCTGCTGGAGAAGGGATGGTAGTTGCCTTAGGAAATGTAACTAATAAGGTTGAGTATCAGATGAAAGGAGATTGATCACTTAAAGCCATTTTCTATTTTTATATTGTGAAAATGTTTCCGTGACCATTTTGGACAGTAAATATTACTCCTGAGAGTGAGTGGACCCAGATTCTCATTCTGTCCTGTGCCACTAGTCACATCCCAGTGCTCTCCGGGCATCTGTTTCTGCCGTTGGAAGAAAGACGGCTGCAGGGGCGTCGAATCTGCTCTTCTCTGCCTAGAGTCCCTGGGGCTTTGTGTCCATTGGCAGTTTGCCTAGGTCAGGGGTTTTCTGACTCCTTTTCCTGGTAGCCAGGGGAGAGGCCTCAGGTTGGGCTGTTTTAGAGAAACAGCACCTGTGTTTGTTAGGCTTCAGAGATGAGAGGTCCAGGCAAGACCTGAGAAAGCACATGAGTGCAGGGCTGTGCTCCAGTGAGGGAGTGGTGGCTCTTACTGCTGTGTAAAAATTATTTTCCAGACACAGATGGCTCAGTCCCTCCCTTGGAGGAGGGAGAGAATAAAGAATACTTGAGTTTGGGGTACCAGCACCATCCAGGTAGCTCTGCCTTCCTTGGGGAGTCTTGGGCTCTGTTGGTGCTGTGCTGTTTGGAGAGGATGTGGGCTCTGGGGCCCAGCCCCAGGCCACAAGGGACTGTCTCTGTGGGGCTCACTGTGCTGCAGAAACATGTTGGGCGCAGCCCAGCTCTGGGCCTTGGGCTTGCTCTTCCCTCTGCTGGGAATACTCACAAAACATTTCCTGTTTATTTTCTGGAAGGAATTTCTCTGGGATTTCCTAAACCATCAGGAGGGTCCCCGTATAAGAGACCGTTTAAGCCACGGGGAGATTAACTTGCGTGACTTTCCAAAGGTGGTGACAAACCAGCTGCTTGCGTTTTCCCTTGTCCTCTCACTCAGATTCGTTGATGAAGATCTGTTGTCTGCTTTTCAGGTAACGTAGAGGGAAGAAGTGTTAGTTTCACTCTTCAGCCATGAAAGAGTATATATTGCAAACGTAACTGTTCATCACTTTGTCTTCCTATATCTAAGTGTCCTATAGCAGAGTAAATGTAAATTGATTACATGTGTGTGTATTCTCTAGAGCAGATAATCAATCTTAATTTAGTTCACTTTTTAAAAATTCATTTGCTTTCATATGTAACAGAAGCAGGGCGTTGAAAACCAAAGAACAAATCCTAAAACAACCAAATATCGGGAAATTTAGATGTATAGAGTGGGATATTTGCATCATCAAGTTATTTTAAGTCTTTTAAAATTAGGTTAGAACATGTGTTACTGGTATTTTAGTTTTTTTCCTAGATTACATGTATTATTACTTTAAAACTTATTTAAAAGTTCAAACAGAACAGAAAAACGTGAAAAGTGAAAGCCCTTAGGAATCTCATCTCCCAGAAATCACTGTTACTGATGGGGTCTTTGTTCTCACCTCCTCCTGAGAGCAGCAGAACGGCTTGCAGGAGGACTCTGGCTGTACAGCAGCATTTTCCCATTAACAGCCAGTTTGGGGCATCTTTGTTCTGCCTAACTCTCTTCATCAGCTATTTGACATCTCATTTTATGGGTGTGTTGTTATTTATAGACATCCTTTGGTGGCAGGTGGGCTGTACCTTTTCCTGATGTGGATACTTGCTAATTATGGTGCTGAAATGAACGAATGTCTCTTCATTTGGGCGCTTGTATAAGCAAAGCTCCAGAACAGAAGGCATCACTGATATCTGTTTTTATTTCCATATCTTTTCGTGACAGGTTGTTTCTGCTGTTTTTGTGTTATTAGATGTTTGTAATTCTTCTTGCTCCTCTTGTTTTGTTCCCTTCCACTCTCGCTATCTTTTCAGCCTTGCTAGCTGTGTCCGTGCACACCTGGCTCTTGGCTTGTCATTGGGTCTTGATTTGTCTCTTAGGCTTCTGCATCAGGAGTCATCCTGAAAGGAATCTCTACTTTCCAATTTGTACATTTACCCTAGTACTTTGCTAATTTTTTCCATGTTCATGGCTTTTGCTCCAACAGGAATATTTTTGCATCTTGGGAGTAAGGTGGAGAGCAGGGTGGCCAGCAGGCACTTGGCCTCTGTACTGAGAAGTGACAGCTTGTCTCAGCACCATTCAGAGACTCACCATCCTCACGCGGTGTGCCCAGAGTTCTGGTCCTGGCTGCCTTACGGAAAGTGTAATGACACAGTTTAACATCTACAAGATTTGTACCTCGCTACTTTGAGTTTTCCTTCCTGTTCCCTAACTGTTGCTCTATGTGAACTTGAGTAGTTAAACATACAACCCCAAAGCAGAGTTATAAACTCCGGGTAGACAGCCGCCTTCTGTGATATTGGACCCATCTGGTGGCCTTCATCGCTGCACCCCTGGATCCTAGCCTCCTGCTTGCACACGCCCCCCTCAAGAGTCCTCACCTCTGTCTTAAACTGTATTCCAAGTCCCTTACTCCCTGTCTCAAGGGCCTTCCCCGGGTTACCAACCATGCTGGTGGGTCTACCCACTGCTACCTCCCATGATGCCATCATCCTGAATGATCTTTTGGCACATTTCACCTCCTACTCAGTCTTAGATTCCTGTGGGGTCATGTTCAAGAACAGCTGGGTGCCTTCAGGCCACCCTGTTTGTTCTGAACTCCTCCTGGACCCTCAGGCTATGGATGGCTTTAGCTGGCCTGGTGGGACATCACTGGCGAGGCACCCCTTTCTGTCTCTGTGTGCCCACCTGGTGGACAGGGCATGTCTTCCTAGGTGACTTATGGCCCCTGTAGGGCTTGTTTTGTGCCACTGAGAATCATAGGCAAGTGCTGCTTGTTGAATCCATCTGCTGTCAACTCAATGACTTTTTGTTTCTAATAGTTTTTAGCTGACTTGATTTTTCAGTTATACAGTAACATTGGCTATAAATGTTTTTACTTTTTTCTTTATATTTTTTAATATTATTGGAATATTTATAGCTGTCTAATTCTTTTTTAGTTGTATTGATTCTTTTTTTTTTTTTTTTCTTTGAGACGGAGCCCCAAGCTATCCCCCTGGGCAGAGTGCCGTGGCATCACAGCTCACAGCAACCTCCAACTCCTGGTCTCAAGCGAGTCTCCTGCCTCCGCCTCCCAAGTAGCTGGGACCACAGGCGCCCGCCACAATGCCTGGCCATTTTTTGGTTGCAGCCATCATTGTTGCCTGGCGGGCCCGGGCTGGGGATTCGAACCCGCCACCTTAGGTGTATGTGGCTGGCACCCCAGCCGATCGAGCCACAGGCGCCCAGCCAGTTGTTTTGATTCTTAAATTACTATTTTCTAGTTTCTTAGTAGAATCTCTTAAATTTCCCAATTGCTGGGCATCTTTCTGTCCGTCTTGTTACTTTGACGATCTTTACGTTAGTGATCTTTGCTAATCTTCTTTGTTTAAGATTTTGTTGGCAGTGATTTGACTGCCATTTAAGAACCTATTTGATTAAGTGTTTTGCCTTGTTACAGCTGACTAAGATTATTTCAAGGACAATAATGAGGAGTTGGAATTCTAATGACCTATGATTCAACAGAAGAAAACTAAAAGCTAAACAAGAATGGTAATAACTGACATCTGTTCTCTCAACTAGGAAAAAGCAGAAATAAAGTTGCTGATTGGTCTTACAGAAGGCTATGTGTCTCGTTGCCATCCAGTTTCTCAGCTTAAAAAGCAGGTGTGTGTTGCCAGGTGTCCACCTCGGAGGTGCTGGGAGGGTGCAACTGCCTGCCAGCCTGGGTTTGGCGGTGGACAGTGGTGGGTGCGCTCACTGGGCACTGTGCTGTGCTGACAGGGGCATGGTGGCAACTTGAGGGAGCCCCGCAGGCTGCCACCTCCACTAACTCAGGGCCACGGTAGTTTCTGCCGGTGGTGAGGAATGTCATTTTCCTGTGGCACAAGGCCAGCGTTGGTTACCCTGTTAACTGAAACTTTTATACATTCCTGCTGTGAAGTGCTAGTCTTGGAATTAGTGAAGGTGCTAATTGGTAGGATGAGGGCAGAACAGAATCACAGCTCTGGGGTGGAAATTTTCAAGAGTGAGATACCTCCGAGGGAAGCCATGGGGTCAGTGCTGAGCAGCAGGGAGGTCTGCTCGGGTGGCTGCCTGGACAACTTTAGAACAGCAGTGTGGTCAGAGGGCAGCAGAGCAGAGGGAGATTGTCCAGGCATCACTGGCCTGAAGAGAAGGGCTCAAGCTTAAGGGCTGCTGTGTTTTGGAGGCAGATGCCTCAGGCTTCCTCCCACTAATGCTTTCCAGAACAAATCACCCAAGGTAAAAGGATCAGAACTTGCCTGCAGGGAACCACTGCTTAAGGAGCTGGGAGGGGAGAAGTCTGGGAAGGAGGGAAGCTTCTGGAAGGCAGTTTCTACCTTGAAACCTGAGTTGGAGTGTCCAGCCTCTCCAGCCACCTGCACCCTGGGAGACATTCCCTCCTTCCTCTGTGGGAAGGATTTTGGACCCTCACCACTTCTGCTTGCCCTCCTCTTGTCATCTGTACCCACTCCAGGTTTCTGTGGCACATCTTGGTGTCTGTGCTGCTGGTGACAGCTGGCCCGTGTACTGATGTCAGCAGCCGCCATCCAGTATGCATGTGCCTAGTGGGTGGGAATTGGGAGGATCTGCTGAGGGATTGGAATGTGCCTCTCCTGGCTGTGGATAGCTGTGTCCCCTCTCAGAGGACTGGAAGCTGGTCATGGCTTCAAGAGCCCCTACTGGGGTGCCCCTGGAGGATGGCTGGTTTCACCTCCAGAATGTGGCCTATAGAAGCAGGGAGGAGGTGACCCTATGTTGGACCTGACTCTGGATGCCTCATGCCCACGGTTCTGTGGGGTGCAGGGTGGTCACCAAAGTGGGACGTGTCAGAGTCCCCAACACATTGCCGGTGATCTCTGGGGAGTTGTGCCAGCCCTTGCCCAGTGACAGTATTGAATAACTGAGAGATACTTCCTAGTTTTAAAATGGAGCTATAGGTATAGGTATAGGTATAGGAGCTATAATGATTTCATAAGCATGAATTTTGTAGGAAGTAATTAAACTTCTCTAACAGTATAAAAACACAAATTTTGTACAATGCTGTTGTGTAATCTTTATAAACAATTCGATGTTTCCCTACAGGTGCTGCGCTGTGAGGAGAGCATTGGAGCATGGCCACTGCTGCTGGGTCCTGAGGAGCCTGTCCAAGAGGCAGCCAGGTGCTGTCCCCCCTGGGCCCTGGCCTGAGTCACTCTTGATTACAGTTTCTTTTTTTTTTTTTTTTTTTTGAGACAGAGCCTCAAGCTGTCCCCCTGGGTAGAGTGCCATGGCATTACAGCTCACAGCAACCTCCAACTCCTGGGCTCAAGCGAGTCTCCTGCCTCCGCCTCCCAAGTAGCTGGGACCACAGGCACCCGCCACAACGCCCAGCTATTTTTTGGTTGCAGCTGTCATTGTTGCCTGGCGGGTCCAGGCTAGGGATTCGAACCCGCCACCTTAGGTGTACGTGGCTGGCGCCTTAGCCGGTTGAGCTATAGGCACCAAGCCTTGATTACAGTTTCCACTGTGTTTCTCCCCTGGGCTGATAGTAGAGGAAGGGGCAGGAGGGCTGTGGCAGGGGGCTATGCAGCAAAATAAGCTGAGGGTGGTGCTGCTGTGGCTCCCAGCAGAGTGAGGCCTGTCCAGAGGTGGCACAGGTCTTGAGGGCAACTCAGTGACATCCATCTGGAAACATCTAGTAATTAATAGGTCATTATGTGAAATACCTGATATCATATAAGTTCAATTATACAGATTGTTTGAGATACAACAAAGTGTGTACCTCAACTGTCAGTGCAGTTTTCATATCTTAAGGGTAGCATGTTTATGCCAGCAGCAGAGAAGCCTGGAACACGTCTCTAAAATCACAAAAGGCATTTTCCACACCTTGAGAATTGAATGTTTTTCTTGTAAGATGTGGTCCAAATCCTGGAAAGAGGAGTAGTTGGTTTGAGGCCTGGTGAATATGGAGGACAGTTCCTGTGTCCACCCTCTGTAGTTTGGGCAGCGTTGTGTGTATAACATGTAGTCAGGTGTTTTGCAAGAGGACTGGCCTGTCTCTATTGACCAATCTTGGCTGCTTAATTGCAAGCCACCCTCATTTCATCCAGTTGGTGGCAGTGGACACCACTGTAATTTGACCACGTTTCATGATGGTGCAGAGGTTGACACCAGCGCTGGACCACCAGATAGACACCATTAGCTTTTCCTGATGAATGTTTGGTTTTAGGCTGTGTTTCAGCACTTTGTCTTTATCCAATCTGTGCCTGTCAAAAGTAACTCATTTTCATCACCCATAACAATGTGGTATAGAAATGGTTCACTTCTGGGTCCTGACAGTGAAGAAAAGCAAGCTTCCAGACCAACGGTTCTCAACCTGTGGGTTGTGACGCACGGGAACTATATTAAACAGTTGCGGCATTAGGAAGGTTAGAACTGCTGTTCCAGATGATAGCTCTTTTGATGCTTGTTCATGAAGAACCCACCCATCCAGCTTCTTTACCTTGCCAGTTGGTTTAAAATGGGTCCAGTATTGTTGGAATGGTAACTTTGCTGATTCATGAGTAGGTTCGGATAGATTTGCTTCCAGTACAGCTTTCAGCTCATTGTCCATCTTGGTCTCAGGATGCCCATGTGGCTCATTTTCAAGATTAAAGTTGCCAGAACAGGGTGGCACCTGTGGCTCAGTGGGTAGGGCACCTGCTCCATATACTGAGGGTGCGGGTTCAAACCTGGCCCCGGCCAAACTGCAACAAAAAATAGCCAGCACTGTGGCGGTGCCTGTAGTCCCAGCTACTTGGGAGGCTGAGGCAAGAGAATCGCCTAAGCCCAGGAGTTGGAGGTTGCTGTGAGCTGTAACGTCACAGCACTCTACCAAGGGCAATAAAGTGAGACTCTGTGTCTAAAAGAAAAAAATAATTGCCAGAACAGAACTCCTCAAAACATTCATCAGCCACGTTCTGTACAAACACTCATTGACATTTCCAGCTGTCTGCTGCACTGGTGTCAGGAGGGAACTCATTTGAAAACTACAAGAATTGTTGACTTATTGTAGTTTCACAAAAATTGCTCTCCAAGAAATTTAAAAGATAATCACAAGCTAAAAACACACTTTTAAAGAATGAGGAGATACCCTCGCAATAAAAGATGTCAAAGTGAAATGTCAGATATTAACTGTCAAAGTTAGTATCTAAGGAAATTGGACATTTTTCAATGACCTAATAAAAAGTTGGGGACATGCAGAAGTAGGGACGGAGCTGGCAGTTGCTGAGTGGTAGAATCCCACAGATGCCATCGAGTGTTAGCCAGGCTGGGCAGCTTCCTAGGGCATGCTGAGTGGTAGACTCGAGTGTTAGCCACGCTGGGCAGCTTCCTAGGGCAGTGTGTTCCTTTCAGTGAATTGTTTCATTTGTTTTTACCTCTCTGATGGGTTTTTTTCATTTTCCTTCTGGGAAAAGTTTCAAATTAAGTTCTTTGCTCAGTAAAGCTTTAATTAAACATTTCATAGACACTAATGTGGGCACTTTAGTAATTGTCATGTATTTAAATATTTTTCTATTTTTTAGATTAGTGGATAATTCTGAAACAAATGCCTGCTACTCCTTAATTACAAAGATCATGTGTGAGCTCCATCAGCACATGCCCGAAAGCCCTCACATGCTCAGGGATGCCGGTAAACTCCCTGCTGAGAGGTAAGTTTGGGATGTCTTGAATTTCTAAAACATTAAGCAAATTAGCAACCAAACTCAGCTGTTTTGTTTTAAATTATGTGGACTTGGTAGTGTTGTAATCTTGTAACTGCCCCACAGAAATTACCAGGTAAACTTTGATAATCTGTGCAAGTGTGATATGTCTGAAGTTATATACCCTATTCTCATCACAATGAAACATTATTGGTTGGACACCTGCTGTGTATCACAGTTCTAGCCACTGCCATCCTCCTTGCCAGTCGTTTGCAGTCCAGAAGGGCCATGCACCAGCATAGTGAAGTGCCAGTGACATGCATATTCCATGTGAGTCCTTCTCCAACTTGCAGGTGGCCCCAGGTGCTGGGTAGACTCTGCAGCACACCCATCCCCACACTGTTCTGCCCAAGGGCTGTCCTGGAGGTGGTGGCCGTGCTCCGGCGCATCAGCACACAGTGCCAGCAGGTGTCTAGCCAGGTCATTCTCTCCTTGGAGCTGAGGCACCGGAAGTGGGTGGAGAGGACTCTTCGGTCCCGCCAGCGGCAGAACTACCTGCGCATGCTCAGCAGGTAAGGGGGGGTGGATGGGGCAGAGCGGGGGATAGGGTGGGATGGGCTGGAGACAGCATTTCTGGGCTCAAGTTGTCTTAGCTGCAGGGCTTGCTCTGGCCCTGGCAGTCAGGACCAGCACCAATCCCCCAGGCAGTTTGGGAACAGCATGGTGGACTTCTCTGCCATACTACTCATCAGGTGTTTAGATGATTATTGGAGACTTTATGAACTGTTATTTTATAGTCTGTATTCATCTGTTTTCTAGTCCATTCATTCTGGGTCAGGGCTGTGGGGCAGCTCTGGGCATAAGGTGGGCACTGCCCTGGACAGGGCGCCTTCCCTGGGCCACATGCCCTACCTGCACAGAGGCAGTGTGGACAGCCAGTTCACCTATGTGCATATCTGGGCATGGAGGGAAGCGTAGGGCCCAGAGCCTGTGCAGGTGGGGAAGACATGCATGCACCACACAGCTGGCGGCCCTGGCAGAAAGTTAGTTTCTCATCATTGACAAAATGCCGTAGAATGAAATATTATGAGGGCTTGCTGTTCTTATTTCAGAGAAAGTTACAGTATATGTTGTTTTAAAATATTTGTATTTTTGGCACAAGGGAATAAGGGTTTTTCCTGCCCAAATAAACGTCTGGATTTAAAACTTAACTGTGGATCTCACATAAACTGGATTTAATTTTGACCAAAGTTAACTGATGACTCCATACTGAACCGCAGAGTCAAAGCATTCTATAATAGACACACTCTTATTTGACAATGTGAATGTTACTTTTTTTGCATTATTATTATTATTGCTCAATTAAAAAAAAAACTTAACCGTGGATGAACTTGGGTACAGACATCCTTACAGTCTCTTCCCTTATAGTGTGTGTTTTAGAATGTGCCACATGCTTAAGAAATGACCCTTCTGGACAAGTTTCTTGAATTTTTGGCTGAGTGGCGTTTGTGTTTCTGAACTTACTGTGTGTTACCCTGCAGAGGATGAGGCTCAGTTGACACCCTAGTTGCAGTTGTGAGACAGCCTTGTTCTCTCACCTCTCTCCTCAAATGGAAGATTTGTAAGCATCTCAACTGATTTCATCGGAAAAATAAGATCATTAACTGGGACTTCTTTGCATTCAAGGATGTTGAGCACATTTTCAGGCTCTGCCTTTTGTTCTTATCTGGAGTTGCCATTGCGTGTAGCTCAGCACTGAGGGAAGGTGTGGCTGCGTGGGAGGGCTACGCTCGGCCTACTACGAGCCTGGGGTTCACAGTAACTGGGATACTTGAAAACAACATTGGTTTCCCAAAATAGCTTTTTCCTGTGACAGTAGAAATGCTTGTGGATTTTAATCAACTTTTACCCATTTTCAGCGTTAGGCTTCTGTCTCCCATGCTTTCCCTGATCTTACTGCTTGTCACATTGGAATTGGTCAACATTCATGTTGTTCATGGAAAAACTGCCTGTGAATGTCAGCAGTACCTGAAGTAAGTGAGTCCCATTTAAGAGTGAAACTGTGTGTTGGGTGGTGTCTGTGATGATGTTTTACTAGCGATTTTGAGGGGCTGTTGCTACTCTGTGGAGCCGGGTGCTGAGTCTGAGCATGAGACTGACTCCTGCAGGCAGGTCAGAACTCCCAGCTGTGCAACTGGATGTCTGGGCACCAGGCGGGTGAAAAGCCTGCGGGAGAGACACTGCAGGAGGGACACTACAGGAGGGACCCTGCAGGAGGGGCACTGAAGGAGAGACACTGCAGGAGGGACACTACAGGAGGGGCACTACAGGAGGGGCACTGAAGGAGGGACCCTGCAGGAGGGGCGCTGCAGGAGGGGCGCTGCAGGAGGGGCACTGCAGGAGGGACACTGAAGGAGGGGCACTGCAGGAGGGGCACTGCAGGAGGGGCACTACAGGAGGGGCACTGCAGGAGGGGCCCTGAAGGAGGGGCGCTGCAGGAGGGGCACTGCAGGAGGGGCCCTGAAGGAGGGG